AAAGAGTGGGAGGAAAACCACACCCTTGAGTTCCACAGCATTCCCTGGCACCTCCTGACTCTCTCCATGTATTTCTACCTGTCCCTTTTGCAAGATAAAACATTACTAGAGTTTTCTTGCTTCTTGAAACAGCCATTAACACTTCCATCAGCATTTTATCTAATGTTGCATTAGCTCCTGCATTAATTTTACCTTCTTCACTTTGCAAGGCATTTATCACCAGTCCTCAGCACACACATTTTTAGCTGTGTGGTAAAGGTGATTTTACAAGGGGAGAAATAAGGAGAGCCAGCAAATCTCAGCAGTCTAGAACTGTCAAAGAAACAGCAACTGAGAGCCCTAACACCCTGGGGCTCCAGACAGCATCTTCTCCATAATCTCATGTCTTTTTAAAGAGAGCACAGAGCAAAGTACAACGCAACAAACAGCTGTAAAACAGCATCTTGAAGTGCCAGTGGCCATGACATCTGGGTTAGAGAGGTAATAAGATATTGTAGCCTATGCCAAAGAAGGATTACTCCTTTGTAAGCTTTAAATCAAATCCCTCTAACAACAGCATATTTGCTTATGTATTATTACTGTTTATACTACTGGATTTTGGAGACAGAAATAGTATTTAACATTCAAAAACACAAACCAAGCAAATACAATTTATATTGGCTCCAACATAATGCACTCTCACCTACAAAGAGAAACACAGCTCACCTTTTAAACTCTTCTGGATGCTGTTATTCCCCTTTAGAAGCTTGGACCATTTTATTGCTCTTCTAGTGAGGACCACCAGGTATCTGGAAAAGAATGCTTCATAGGATGCATAATCAAAGTCTTCTGGCCTTTCAAACCCATATGGATCGACCCTACAAAGTAAAGAAGAAGCCTTGTACAAATGTTTCTACATATCTACAGCTGAAAAAAAAAAATACAAGTATGCTTTAAATAACTTTCAGTTGCTACTTCTAAAAGCAGCTCAGGTCCTTCCTCATAGCAAAATCCTGCTGTACCCAAACTGTTACACTCCATTTCACATATCAGAGCTGTTTAAGTAATTAATTTAAACATGTATGGTTCAGTCAGTTTAAATGTGTATGGTTCAATCCTTTACTTTTAGAAGTAAGGAGTTTTTGGAGCATTATGTGCAAAACTGACCCAAATTATGACCACACAGAAACTGGGAGGTATTTTTCTCCACACTACAGACAGTCAAGGATTATGAAGGTACAGCAAAACAGCTCCAGTATGGCCTGAACTCTCTTTCCACACAGTTCTGTGCAGAAAAAAAAAAAAAAGACAACAAAAAGTACAAGTGTAACAAGTTACAGGAATATCTTTCAAATGGGTAATTACTTTCATGAAAGTATACAACTCAGAAAAAAGAAACAAATCCTTGTGTCAATCTCCCTTCCTCATATGTAGTGTCAAAAACACTCATTTAATGATATTTTTCAATGCTAGAGCACATTATCTCAGGCAGCACAATGTTGGTGTTTCAGAACTGCAAGTGTGATTCTGTTTTAAGCTTAATATACCAAGTCATCTTGCTAAATTAGATTAGTGGCAACTTCCCAGGACAATTTATACCTGCCAAATATCACCTGAGGACAGGACAAGCACAGGCTTGGTGGAGGTTAAACAGGCAGAGGGGTCTGTCTGGTCAGAAAAGGTTTACACACAGACATCAGGGCTTAACTTCCCAACACTCTGCTCATTTCATTCATGGAGAAAGAATTTGGCCATGGAGCAGCACTGGCACAGCCTTGGGTAAACTGGCTCACAGGAGTGTCACAGGTAGTAAAGCATGAATCAGAAACAATTAAATATTCAGACCTGAAACTGCTATTACCCAGTTGGCAGTTTCATAAGAGTCACCTTAGCATTCACGTACTCCTCAAGTCTGCCACAAAAACCACAGGCGGAAAAAACCCAAACAATCACTGACACATGTTTCTCTAAAGACACAGAATGTGAAAATGCAGTGACAGGGCAAGGGGCAATGGGGACAAATTGAAAGGGGGCAAATTTAGGTTAGATATTAGGAGATTTTTTCCCTGTGAGGGTGGTGAGACACTGGCCCAGGTTGCCCAGGGAGGCTGTGGCTGCCCCAACCCTGGCAGTGTTCACAGCCAGGCTGGATGAGCCTTGAGCAACCTGGTGTGGTGGGAGGTGTCCCTGCCCAGGGCAGGGGTTGGGGCTGGATGATCTCTAAGGTCCATCTCAACCCCTAAAATCCTATGATTCTATTAAAACACCCCAAACCAACCCCTATCAAATCCATGAACCTCTTTACTGCTGCGACTGCCCGGGCAGCAAGTACTGCTTAATTTCACTCACAGCTCCATTCCTCAGCCAGAAAGGGCAAACCAAGCCAGGGTTTTAAGCACGCTACCTTCCCTCAGGTTAGGACTCGATGATCTCTGAGGTCTCTCCAGCCAGGCTGATTCTATGGTTTTATGATTCTAACCCTCCCCGCAGCTTCTCGCCCGCTCCGAGCGGCACAGACCGCGCGTCCCTCGCGTTCGCACGGTCCGAGCGCTGCGGGAGGCTCAGCATCCTCCGGCTGAACCGGCTCTCCCTGCCCTGCTC